GACTTTCTTAATGACACCTTCTGGGTCTCTCAGTGATTGGAAGTATCACTCAAACCTAATTTCACAAAATCTAAACTCAAGAATAGTCCCAGAAGCCGTCGCGGCTCGCATGAAAGTGTTCGACCAATCACTATTCAGCACTCTGAAACCCGTCCGCATATCTCGTTTCTTAATCGCTCGCTTATACAATTCGCCGCCAATGTGTTGCTTAATGACGGCGTTTTCGATAGTAAGCTCCAGGCGTTTTGGCAATCCTCTTGTAGGTAAACGTCCTTAGTTCACTTTCTGATTATTGGAGGAAAGGTCTGCAAATTATGAGCACCGAATAGGCAGTAGCAAAACTAGCAGCGAGGCGCTTTTGACCATATTACAGAAACACTCATAGGAGCCGGAGTCCCTTAAGGACTTTTTCGCAAATGTAATCTGGTAGACTGGCTGTTTGGCCAAGACGATTGTCATTATCAGGTGTGAACGATGGGCTTGAAGTTTTTTTGGCGATCCATCTTAGTAATTTGGAAAGCCTTGGTCGAACATATATTGCATAATATGTGTTTTGAGTACATGCTCCTCTAGTATTGTCTTTGGCATGTGGTCTGTTACTGCTAATTCTTTGTCTTCATATCACTGTCTTTTCGATGCTAACACCCACATCGCATTGGCCTGTCAAGAACGCAAGATCCATGAGCTGGGTAGCAGTTAAATACCTGTGCTTTCTCTGTGCCTCAGTTCATGTACTTGGGGGACACCCTTACCTGTTGTGGCAGACTCCAACAGCTATCCAGCAAAAAACGGTTGCAAATTTGACCCATCATGAATGTTTTCCTTTCAGGTAAGATCTGCAGAACGTCCGCTATTTTAGCTGTTTTCCAGTCTATTAGATCTCTCTCGAGTTCATTTCAGGTTCGAACGATTGGGAGCGGCTTTGTTTCCCCCGTCCGCAGTTACGCTGGTTAGTTTTGTCCATACATTCAAGTAACTGGCATTTAGCTTTTGTTTGTGGGGCCTCTTTTCAGTGAATATCATGCAAGGTCTTATTATCGGGTCCATGGTAAGTACTCGACGTCCATCTCTTTCTACTTCATTTCTGTTAAATATCGAAGCTTAATGCTTCTTCTAATACCTTCAGATTAGCTGCGCGAATGTTATTACACTCTGGACTGGCGGTGGCTACGAACGGTTGTTGTTGCGCCTTGTTTCGAGGAGCTAATTTTCCGCAGCTGCATCCTTTTCCATCTGAAACGCGAACTTAAATCCTGTTGGTCACTTTTTCTTGCCAGCGCCGGCTTTTTTTTGCAGTATGTACGTGCTACACTAGTTAACTGCGGGCCTTGATCTCCCTGCTGATGAACTTAACAGGCTTTGTTTTTACTATCTCGACTTCGTGCTGATAGTTCTTATCGCATTATTTGTAGCTCACTTTCACCACGTCTTTGAAAAGGTTCACGCAGGCTACTCATGGAGGTCTGCAATCAAAAGTTGTTGTAGGCCCCTTTCTCTTTCGATCATTTGTTCCGGAATTTGTCTACAGCTGCCATTGTCTTGAGTTGGACTCTTAACGTTTCTCTTTCTTTTGACAGTAGTCCAAGTACTCCTCACAGCATTCTTCGGAACCTACTCCACTTTTATCGTCCTTCGGACCGGTGAGTAGCTCCTTCTCCCCTGACGTGGAAAAAAGATGATGTGTAGCCTTAGTGTTGCCCGTTCTAGTCATTTCCCTGATAACAATGGAGTATGCTTTACACTAAAACGGATATATCAGACGAGTTAGGCAGTTGGGCTCATTAGATGATTGGATAATCGCATAAAAAACGACAAAACAATCTGAATTTAGTTGCCAGTACTTGTTGATTTTGTTCCATCTTTTACAGACTCAACAAGACAGCACAATTAAATCACATAACCAATCTTACTTACCATTGTTCGTTGGGCCGCATCCCTTGCATGTCAGAGAAACTAGCTGCAG